AGAGATGTGTATAAGAGACAGCTTATTGTAGTGCACAGTAAAATTTGCCTAAATACTATATTGTCCCATAACTAACATGATTTGCAGGGTAAATTAAAAAAAAAATTCTCTCCGTGTATATAATTATCTATATGTATACAATAATATATGTATATAAATATCGATAGAAAACACTTTATTTTAATATTATATTTTAATGTTATATTTTTAACTTTATACATTTCCAGTTTTAGTTTTATAAATATAACTAATCTTCACAAATCCTGAATTTTAGTTTAAAGTGAAAAACGTTGCAAATTTGTAGCACACGTCCCTAGAGGATTAATTAAACTTCTATCATTGATCTTTAATCTCGACAGACTCTTAATTGCTTGAATATATAAATACGATTGCGCGGTGAAATCGCTAATCGATGTATGGAAAAATATAAATGTTTGCGCTGACACATGGGGAATCCCACGAATCTATCCCAACGTATATCCCGAGCATATTACGTGCGCTGGCTCGTAATCTGGGAAATTTACAAACGTCAACGCGGCATCTGTCCCGCGTAAAGTAACGGTAGCCGGTTTCGTCGACGGGAATGCCGAAGAACGAACGAACGCCGTCGACGAGGAGGAGTATGGTACCACCACGTCGGAGATTCCGCCGCGGAGAGATCGCGGTGCGAAAAGTGGCGCGACGTGGGGCGGGCGGATTTGCGTGGTGGGAGCGCTGGAGCGTAGCCTGTTCCTGCTACCGACTCTACCGAGGGGCGTCAGAGTCCGCGGGCGGAAGTGGGAGAGCGGGGGTCCGGAGTCGCGGGGGCTTAGGCCGTCCCGGGCCGCTTACGCGCGGAACACGCGGTCCACCGAGCCGCTCCGCGCGGCATTACGTCGCGCACCGTCGACCGCGACTGACGTTCGCGCGAGAGGATCGTCGACCGGTGTCGTTGCCGCTGCCGACAATCGCGAGCATGACTGGGTCCGTTCTCGCCAGCGGGAAATGTCAGGAGGCGTTATGTAGGAAAAGTGCGTTGTTTGTCCAAGTGTAACGCCGTGACGTTATATCGGATTTCGAGAAATCGTCGCCTACGTCATCCCGTGACGGCAACCTGTAGGAATAGAAATCGCGACAGAAGATCTAGCTAGTGCCGCTGGCGATAGTGAAAAGACAAAGAAAAAGAGAGAGAGAGAAATTTGAATGTGGTATAATGAGTATGTTGGTGGCGATTTAAGATATTAAATTTTAATAATAGACAGTGACGCACAAAATGTATTTCGAACGGTCGGTCTCTCCGATCGCGCGTCGCGCAATAAGAAGTGCAACGGTACATCGCGAGACTCGATTGAAAACAGCTGCCGCATCGATCGTGGATCAAGACCGGAACGCAATTCCGCCGTGTTAAGCCCGTGGTGATGATCTCGCGACCGATCATGAAAATCAACGCAATCGAGAAGAAGGAACGACCGATCGATTTATACGAACAGCGAGAGATCCGCCGCGGAGGTTGGTAGCGAGGCCGCACGATCGAGTCGCCTCCGTCTGCGAAGTTAAGTGAAAATCCACGACGTCCCAGCCAGGGGGTGCGTACTTGGGCGACGAGGGGCGGCTACTGGCCGATGGGATGCATCTACCGGTGGGTTCCGTGGGCTGCGGGGAGAATTACGGCATTGGATCTCACGAAGGCGCCGGCCCGTGCGGTCCCTCCCTGGCGCCGCTGCAAGGTGTAAACAGCAGGTACCACCAAGTAGACGACGCCGACGCCGGAGGTGGAGGCGGCGAAATGAGCGAGAGTGCCGCCGTCGGCGAACTATGGTGGACCGAAAGGCTCGTCGGCGAGGCGCAGGCCGAACATCCTGGAGAACTGGTCCGAACAGGTTGGTACCAATTGTATTCATAAATAATATCAAAAGAAGGAATATAACTCTGAAGATAATGGAGAAGCAAAAAGCTGTTTTTTTCTCATGTAATTTTCATATTTAATCAAGCAAATATTCTCATCTATTCATTGTGCGCTTTTTTTGAAACTATACATTTAAATTAGACGTAAAATAAAGTCGAACGATTTCTGTGTACGATAAAAATCTTTGTTTCAGGATCGCCGTACTTTCTGTGCAGTCAACTGCCGACGCACTGGCGGTCCAACAAAACGCTACCAGTGGCATTTAAAGTGGTCGCCCTCGGTGAGATCGGCGACGGGACACTGGTGACAGTTCGCGCTGGTAACGACGAAAACTGTTGCGCCGAATTGCGAAATTCGACCGCGTTGATGAAGAATCAAGTCGCCAAGTTTAACGACCTCAGATTCGTCGGCAGAAGCGGCAGGGGTGAGTTTTTCTGACAGTTACCTTTTTTTATTATTTTTCTCTTTAAACTCTTAAATAAGTGTCGAGCAAAAAGGAAAAGTATTTCGTGCTTAGTGGCGCGTCCCCGTTTGTAAAAGGAAACAGAAGAAACATCGCGCGTTTGTAAAAGAGACATACCTGACATTCCAATTATCCTTCCGGAAACAATTTACTATACCTTTGATCATATCGAAGTTCATAAGAGAAATCTACAGCTCTCTCTGTGTATCAGGACGGGCGAGAGAGCGCGTGCCGCGATTTCCAGCCCTCTAAAATCACGGTTATTGTAATCATCATCATCGTGCCACCCTCGCGTCCATACCCCGTGTGTCCCCATTCGCGAGTTCCCGCTCTCCCGCCACCCCCCCAGAGTCATTACTCGATGTCTGCCACAAGCCCCAACCGAGCATTTGAAACAACTGGCCGTTAATCAGAAATCATCCAACGGATATAGACGGATATAGACGGAGAGGATGACTTGCCCAAAATCAACCAACGCTGTCGATCGATGCGCCCTTAACTTGTTTAATTTTCGACCTTAATTTTCTATTCCCCCTCCCCCGCTGCAACTCTTTCGCGCGAATATTAATTAAAAACATCAAAGCATAACGTCGATTAAATCATAATAAAAAACAATGTTCTTAACATTTTTTTCTCTGATAATTACAATATAATGAAAATATAATAAAAAATGTATAAAGATAAAAATCTTAGATCTCTCTCTCTCTCTCTCTCTCTCTCTCTCTCTCTCTCTCTTTCTCTTGTTGGTTTTCTTACGAAACCTTCGCAGTTGCACATTAGACCTCATTTGCGTTTTCGAAATATCGATTTCCCGGCCTATAATAATTATTCACGGATCAGCAGGCGGCTTTGTCAAAGCCTACAAATGCATTTTGCACCCCATGATCCGGAGGGCGCGTTTATGAATTAACGGGTCGGACTGCTCGTATACGGCCGGGATATTCGTCCCGTAACGCGTCATCTATGTTTCATTTGATTTGATCATGAAGTGCAGGGTCAGCGATTTTCGTTCCTCCTGACGCACAGGTGCATCGCGCAGGGTCCCCGGAGTCAATTAGCGAAAGAGACACTTCCCTCGCCCGAAATCCTTCGATCCCTTTGTCCATTTTTCGGCTCGTTGTTATATGTTTTTTTTTTTTACCGTTTCAATCTCTCCCCGATAATCCATAATACTCAATTTCGGCGATTGACCAAACCGCTCTCGGTGTGTTGATACCGGCCACCACCATATATCGGGCGGACCCGGCCCTCCTATCATCGAGGTTTTGTTTCCGCGACTTATTAATTTGATTGAATTGCATCGCATCGGCCGGCAAACTGATTCAAGAAATTGCAGCGAGGATTTTAAAACGGGGCGAGAGAGCAACGAAAAATCGGCCGTTTGCCTCCTCGATTAAAAAGAGCGATCGCGCGGCTCGTATACATACCCGACGCGCGACGCGAGATTATTTTTCGGCGACTTCGCGCGCGAGTCCGAGGGCTGATATCGCCTCTCACGATTTTTCTCACCGCACAATTTTCTCCGGCCGTATATGTGTATGCCCGATTGAAATTGCTTTTACACGTGTCTTCTGTTGTCACGTAAGAGATTACAACAACGCCGATCACACCTCACACCGGTTTATTACCTCTAATCAGCCGACTATTAAAGTCAGTCTACGTTAAAAAGGAAATAACGCGAGATAACCGCAAACCGGTTGACGATCATTTTTTCTTTTCATCAAAACAATCATAAAGTTATGACAACGTCGCGTTCAAAACAGTGTAAGGTCTCCACACACTGTTTGGAGAATCGCCGGTGATCCCGGTGATTGTCGCCCCTCTCGTATATTCGACGAGCAGATAATCCCCAAAAACGCGCCGTCGGAAAGAAACGGGATATGGGTAGCGCCCGAATCAAAGAGGACCGGGGAGGCTGAAACGACGACGGCCGTTCCATCATCGCCGGGGTCGAGAGAGCGGCCCGTGCCTATAATTAGTAATATACCGCAGTCTATATCGACACGGCTGAAATTACCACCGATAGTAATTATTTGACAATTGCAGAGACATCCTGTTGGGAGACTCTGGGACCTCCGCTCCGTCCCTACCACCAACGTGCGTCCGCTCTCGTCCCCTTCGCCCACCCACACCCCCTTTAGCCTTTCTACCCCGTACGCTGCTGCTGCTGCTGCCGCTGTTGCTGCTGCTGCTGCTGCTGCTGCTGCTGCTCGCTTAGCCCTACGCGATCTCGTCCCCTCCGCTCCGTCGCCACGAGTATTAACGGACGGTTTCGAGTGGTTTCGGGCGGTTGTGTGTGGGCGGTTTGGGTTGGCGCGTTCATCTCATCGTCTATGTATTGCCAACGCACCGACACACTTACATACACACACGTATATATACACGTGCACACGCGCGCAGGGGGAAAGAGGGAGAGAGAGACACACGGGAGATCGTGAGTAGTCAAGCTGTGATGCTGCACGTTATATAGGTGCCACATACGCGTGGCCCGGTTTTGTCTGTCCGTCCGTCCGGCCGTCCGTTCGCCCGTCCGTCCATCCGTTCGTCCGTCCGTCCGTCCGTCGTTCGCGAATGCACAGACCGGGTCCTGTCTCTGCAGATGACCGTTCCCATCATCGAGTATTAACCGCAGGTTCGGGCGCCGGAGAGGGGAGTCGGCTGTGCGGCATTATTAGCCCCAAATGCGATGGACTCGGCCGGGGGAGAGGGGGTCTAGCTCAACGCGCGACCCTTCCTCCAACCTGCCGCCACCTTCCCCCCTTTCACTCTTCCGACTTTGGTGATCCTCGGATTTTCCGCGATTTTTCCAATTAGGCGTGTCGAGCCTTGAAAAGTTTTAGAACGTTCCCTGTATAAGATTGATTCTAATTTTTCATTGACCCGGTACTTCCGGGGAAAGTTAGGCCTCTTTCCAAGAGAAACTTATAAAAATTATATTCTACTCCCGTCGTCCGACGGTCGCCTATTTTTGGCGAAAAAAAAAATCACGTTAGAGAAATCGCCTTTTGACGCAAAAATTCGAATCGACATCCCCGGAAACGATGCTCTTTGCACGCGACAGATGAACGATGACGATGGCAATGACGGCCGCGGGAGGTATCCTGGGACCGGGCGGAGGGATGCAACGGGGAGGGATGGTTCTATCGCGGAAGAGCGGAGAGAGGGCCGCGATATAACTGGGATATAACGCCATGTAGCTCTGCAGTCAGTTGCAGTTCCCGGGGGGTAGGCGCGGGGACCGGCGGTGTTTGATGCCGGTTATCATGTTGACAGACACAGCGAGGTGGAACTGGGTGTACCAAGGGGAGACAATTACAAATCGTTGACATTTACGCCAACACAAACGATTGCATGTCCGCGGCGCGTTAGGTATCGTCTCTTTTGGGCGTAAACAGCAGTCTTGGTCGCGTTTCGTTTTCGTCATATTGGACAAGTTGACACCGAGTGTTTTGGCGAACGGTCGCCCGCGAAAATGGATGGAGCCATTCTCGTACGAATTGTTTTCGTCAAGTTATCGCCCCGCTCGCATCGCGTCGGCCCTGCTACGACGCGGCTAAAAACTCGTTCGGCTAAAAAACCATACCGCGCGAGACTCCTCCGTTTTCTAATTCCGGCGAACGTAAATAACGCGGAGGCTAAGCTCGGTATAAATTTCTCGCTGCCGCGCGCGAACGAACCCACACTCCTGTCCGAGAGGGACAATTGGTCGAAAGGGACAACTGGCTGGCTTCTACTCCTACGGAAGAGTTGCGAAAGAGCGGCGAATTACCGAATGCATATTAGCGCGCGATGGGCCGTTTAAGAGCGCGTAGTCAATCTCTCCGACGGACGTTTATGGAGAAGGAATTAATATACCGAGCCTTCAACTTCCAGACCTTCATCGATGATATATGTACACGACCGCTCCACCCCCGAGCATCCACTTCTCCTCTATTATCTTTTAACGTGCTTAAGAATACCGTGGCTCCGTTAACATCTAATAGACACGGACGTAATTGCAAAGTTGCAAATTATAAATTGAGCCTCACCTTTGCGTTGCGTTTAATCGAAGAATCGAAAACAAATATGTATAATTGATAGCTATACGAAAACTACTTATACAATACAAATCTGATATAAAATGTTTATAGTATATAAATTAGACATTCCGTTTAAATTAATTATAGATATTTTTCGAGTAAAATAATTTTTTATATAAAAATAACACACGATTTTGTATTAGTATTTTAAAAAGAAAAGATTATGCAAACCGAGATACTTTGTCTATATTTATACATTTATAGATTCATAAATCGATTGAATCAATACACAGAAGAGTAAATTAGTGATGAAAGCGCAAATCCATCAGTATACAAGCAATTCATGTAGGTATATTGTTCTCTGTGACAGGAAAGAGCTTCAGCATCACCATTACCGTGTCGACGACGCCACCCCAAGTGGCGACCTATACGAGGGCGATTAAGGTGACCGTCGATGGACCACGGGAGCCGCGATCGAAAACGAGTAAGTGGCACATGCGACACTTTATGCGACGCTTCGATCGCGAGATCTATCCGGCGCGACGGGCGCTGCCGCATCGCCCCGGGGATTCCCTGAAAATGTACCGATAATTCAACGAAAGTCCCTGTACGCGGTAATGGGGAGTCATTACCGAGCAGATGGTGCGCGATGATGCAGCGGTCGACGTGCGTATCCCGCGTTTGTGCGTGTTTTGGGTCGGACTATTTCGCGTATACTAATACAGACGCGTGCGTACATACACGCGGGGAGACAATGCTTTTACAAGCGCGCGCTCGCGCGCGCACTCGTGCGCGCCGGATACGCTAACTCACTTACGTTAATTTGCCGCGGAAACACCCGAAAAATTACTAAAACATTCTGTTGGCGGACTCATTATTGGTCGGCCCAAAATTGATAGAATCACGCGAAACGCAGTAAAAGTCGATCATGGGTGACTCTCTCCCTCTCTCTGTCTCCCTTTCTCCCTGCCCCCGACCCTCCATGCAGTTTTATAACTGTGAGTCCCTGCGCACGTCGGATCAGAAGGAGATATCGCGCGCTTGTGCGCCCGACGATTCAGCCGACACCTATTTTCGGATGCATCCGCGGCGAGTAAAAAAAAATGGTCGTTATTTCGATATCAGATTAATAGCCGTTGCGGAGTTAACCGCGAAAACGGCAGTTTTTTGCGGGCGTTTCGCATTTGTTGTATAAAGTATTGATGGAAGCAGGGCGCCGCGTACACCCGTCGGCCCCACTATTTTTTTCGAAATGGTCGAGCGTGATTGATTTTACTGTTGTTTTTACTGCTTGACTCAGGCCGCGTGTCGGGCGGGACCAGGTGCAAAAACGCGTGAATCTCGTCAATTTTCCAGCCGGCATAAAGTGCACTTAACGACGGAGTTAAAGTTTCAAGTCCGTTTTCGCATCCATTGACTTCCATATCTTTGTGGCGTTTTCAACGCTTTAATGTCCACAATATAAAGATGTTCGATTCCGATTCGAGCGACTTCCAATCCATCATTCAAGTTCATCACTAACGGATTACTAAATCTTGAATAAGCCTATACAATCCTGTTCAAAGAAGAAATTTGAAAAAACATTTACCGAAAACAGTCGAAATTTAAAATTCATTTATTTATTATTGAAAAAAATTAAATTTCATATTAATTTGAATTCATATTAATTCTTAGGTCTGTAGGTTTTGAAATATTTTTAATGTCACAAATAATTTGTAGACTTTGTACGTGACGGATAAATCCAGGATATCACATTGCATGCTTTTACTTTACGATTATTGTCTTGCCCGATAATCCACAAGTGGTAGGTGGAACCCCGCTTTAAACGAGAGGCTTGTTTACGTCGTTTAAGCTGTCCGCTCGAGCAGACCCCGGACGTTGCGTCGCCGACCTACTGGCCCTTTCCAAACCGAAAGAGAGACAAACGCGAACGGGCGAGCGATCCGTGTCGCGTGGCACGGACCGTCGCGGAATAGAACACGCATGACGACATATTGCATACACGGGTTTTGGCATCGCCGATGGCGTGCCACCATCGGGCCGGCACGCACCGGGGAGACAATCTATGCAGCAACCGGCGTACGAAAATGCGCTGGCGAGCAAAACAACCGGCGGCGGGGCGCTTTCATTGTGGTGCCAACAATGCGCGACGCTCGATGCCCCGCAGACACCTGCCGGCTCTCATTATTGCGTGCATAATCGCGAGCTTTTTGTTATCGGAAATCATCCCTCCGCGCGCCGCACACTCCGTGTGCCATAGACCGATGCGGCCAATAATCGGGCCAATTTTCGTAATTCGCCTGTGCTTCGCAGCACCGGCAGCGAAAGAGTTTAGAATAGCGGGTCTTTCCCGTTCTCCCGGGAAGAGAGGCGAATCATCGGCAGGGGAAATGCTCTCTCTCCTTCTCGCACATTCAATCTACACAAGATAAATTATAATATAATACATTTCGTTGAAAAGAGCGGACGGACATTTCCGACAATAATGCGCGACAATAGATCGTTTCGGAAAAATTATAGAACGCAAGATGACAGTCTGGACCTTTCGTGATAGACGGATCAATGACGACGAAGTAGTGTCCGAGTAATTTGTCAGTTGCCAATAACCGAAACGGCAGCAGCAGGCAGCAGCAGCAGCAGCAGTAGCAGCGTAACGCAGGACGAATCGAGCGCGGTACGGATAAATCGAGAATGGGAGAGGCGTCCGCGAAACAAAGTGGCCGCTGCCCGTCACCGTGGCCCAAAATCATTGAAATGCAAGCGAGCGAAACGATATCGATGGATGGGTGCTGTCAGTCAATGGTCGAAATTGAATTTGCTTCACTCGGTAATTGATCCATATTTGAAATGTCGTCTATTAGTAGGGTACCTATATAGACTCGCGAAATGATTTTCCCCGCTTTAATACGAGGCGAAGAGGCAACGCCGGTGTAGGTCGCCAACGATGAATTTTCTACTTTTGCTCAATGACAAGCGACATGAGGCGTTGTATTTCTTTTTGAGAAACTCACGCGAGACCTGGTTTCCGTGTAGTGAAACACATACGAGATGTGCCGCCGATGTCCGTCGCTATACCTAACCGATGACGATTTCGTTGATTTCTCGCTGGCCAGGTCAATCCGCTCCGCTTTATCTCTACAAAATCGTACGTTCGCCAATCGACATTCTCTTAAATATTGTTTTCGAGAAAACCGATAGCGACGAAAGGAATCATACGGAAGCAATTTCGGCAGTCGGTGGCCGTCAATCAAAATGTTAAAATTGGAACCGGGCTACTTCGCGATTGGATTCCCCTCGTGGCCAACTCTCTTGATCCTGATACCGGTCAGAGGAAGGCTCTATCGGCGACCGAAAAGTCTGATTAAAGACTGCCTCCTGATAAAGCGACGTCGAAAAGTGGCGGATCTAGCGGAGCTTCCGCTCGAGCAATATAATCGTAAACATATAGCAGCCCGTGGAAAAATTATTTGCAGCTATCGATCGACGATCTGAAATCGAGAGCGGATGTACATACACGCGGATATGCGAAGTGCGTTAACGTTAGGAAATGATGGAAAAAAAAGGCGTAAAGGAGAATGAAATCTAGGAAACGCCGCGCGCTTCGGCCTGTGGCCACTGGCGTCAAGGAGAACGTAAGACGGGCGGGAGGGAGAGGCCCCGTTATTAGAGAGGAGGAAAAAGCCGCGCTATTTCCGTCCTCCCGGAGCCACTTTGATTAGATAAGTCCACCACTCGTGCCCGTGGAGATTGGAATTATTGCTCTCTTCGTCCCACCTTCTCTCTCTTTCTCTCTCTCTCTCTCTCTCTCTCTCTCTCTCTCTCTTTCTCTATCTTTCTTGCTCTCTCTCCGCTTATCCGTGCTTCACAAGCTGTAGAGGGGCGATTGATGAAGGTGTTATATCACCATCATTCTTGTTTATTGTAATTAAATGTTTTTCATACGTCTTTTCTAGCGATCGTCTTCTTTCTTATATGTTAGCATTCTTAATATCGTGACTATCGCAGGCAGACTGCATTCGTCACGATTATACGGTTCTTTGTGCAAATAATCCGTGTATATGGTAATGTGTATAAAAAATCCCACAAGACAATTTCGTTTACATCATTGGATTATCTCTCAAATCTTGCGAGCGTCCACTTTTACAGAAAAAAGAGTTTTTGCAGCTGAAGTCCGTGTCTACCGTTTGACCTTTCACGTGAGCCCGAACCGAGCGAAGAAGTACATCGACGGGCCCATCGCTGCGTAACGTTCCGTACGTTTGGGGCATTATCGGCGTCCGGTACGTGAGAAGTCGTGGGATCCGCGCGGGGCCCCTGTACACGGGCCCCCTTTCGCTTGTAGTATCTCCTGGCGCGGGCCGATCGTGGTAGTCGGTAGCAAGGAATAATCTTGTAGGCATCGGTCAGAGCACTGAAGCTGACCATCTGGGCTCGCCGACAATTTCGTGCAGTTTGTGGTCGAACTTTATTTGTCGTTCGCCCTCGTGGTCGGAGGTGTTTCTCTCTCCTTCTTTATCTTCGTTCCCCCCCCCCTCTCGTCCCCCGTCTTTCTCCTCTCACTGTCTCTCCTTCCTCTTTTCTCTCTTTCCCGTCCCCCTCTACTCCACAAAGAATAACAATTTGCGCCTAGGCTCTCATTCTTTACTTCTCCAACCGTGCTGAAACCGTTGAAAGAGAGAGGGAGGAAGAGATTGAGAGAAGCAACGGAGAAGGCAAATGTGCTACTTCAGTTGCCTATCGATAATGGATAGACTTCAGAGTTTCTGTTGTCTCTCTCCACATTAGTATGCAAATATTGAAAGTTCGAAATTACAAAGATTAATTCTCGACGTTGAAAAATATATGTTACACATAATTCGTATCCGCCATCTGTTTTCCGTGAAATATTCACGGGAGCCTGTAACTTTTTCAACAAACGCTATTACTCCACATCTAATACACACTTTGTCTTGTATGTATTTCGTCTATGCATCTCCGATTATTATGTAAGCGTAACCGGGATTGTGCACGTGCCGAGTCATGTGCACTGTCATGCCGTGTAATAATATGTATCAAACGTGTATTAGGATCCGACGTAATAGGGAATCGGAATACCCCACGTTATGCCACGATACTTGGCTCGAGATTCTGTCTATCCCGTGAGGTCCCGGATATGCGAGGAATGCTATTGAAGTCTATCAAGGGAAGAGAGGTCGAGTTTCTTCATTATCCCGTTCTATTGGGCTAATGACGTAGACGCGCGCTGGTCAATCTCCCCGATTTAGAGATTCCACGAGTGTTCGAATCGTGTCAAAGCGAAAACGTAAAAATCCAGATGACACATCTATAAAAGGAAATATATAAAGTGTGTTTTGAAATTATTCACGAAGCGAACTTGTAATAAAAAAAAACATTTTTCTAATACCGATTGTGATTGTAGATAATAAATTTAATAATAACTGACGATTTTACGAACAAGTAGTATGTACGACGTATGTATATACGTGTCGTGAATAACTTTTTTTTCAGGGCAGCAACATCAGCAATTCCGCGCGCTCGGCCTGGGACAGAGGCCCTTCCTCGACGCGCCGACCTCGTTCAGGTCCCACCTGCGGGAACTCGAATCCTTCGGGAGGAATAAGCATCACCATCATCACAGCAGCAGTCACTTACACGACCAGCAGACTGGCAACAACGTCACCACGAATTCGGTTAGCGGTGCCTGCACCAACCCCAACAACACCGACCCGACCGCATCGCCGGCTTCCAGTACACACCTCGGGGCTACCGGCGGCTCTTCCGTTCATCAGGATTGCTACAAACGCAGTCCTCAACACGGCGGTGAGTTCTGCGATCTTGTTGTCGCTTTTAAGTCGCTCCGATAGTTTTGAGTCAGTCCGATTTACGCAAAACTAAATATAATCTCATTAGCATTTACACATTAAAATTAAATAAATAAGATGTTTTTTTCTATTTAAAACTTAGGCAAACGGCACATAAATCCTCAAATGATACAAACAAAAATCTCTAGATCCTTTAAAAATCGAAAACAATTACTATTCGTTCATATATTGCACAATTTTTATGCATACATATTTTGAGAAGAAGAAAAATTTTTAATTTATTAACAAGAATTGTTTTAAAGAGATTCTTTATTTTATTTATTATAGATAAATATTTTTCAGAGGATATTAGTCTTTTTATATGTGTTATTGCAAAGATTAGCGCTTGTTTATATTTTATTGGAAATTTATATGCTGCTCGTCTAAGTGTTAAGTAGAAACAACATCTTCCAGTTTATTTGCTTCTTCGGATGAATATCACAAGCGTGGTGCCGCTATCATCATCTCGCGCGCTCTTCGCGCAACACGCTCCGCGAAGAGCGAGACTCGAAATGCACACTCTACCCCACCCAACCCTTTGTCGCGAGAGGGTGAAGAGGTAGGAGATCGAGGAGGGAGATCCCGGACTGGGAGAGAAAGAGAGGAGATCTCTGCCGTTTCGCGAGGTAATAGTTTCATACCTCGTTCCGGCTCTGCACCCTCTAATTCAACGTAATAACGACATTCAACCTGCCGTTTCCATCTCCCTCCTTGCCGATCTCTCTCGATGCACCGTTGCATCGCCATAGCACGAGGAAAAAGTGTCCTCCTCCTCCTCCTCGTGAAAAGAACGTCATCCATCGGTCGCTCGGAATAAGCTACGAAGATATTTTTCTCCGCGAAAATTTTTTCGTTCGACTAAAATTTTCCTTTGATAAAAAAAAACCAAAGAATAAAAAGACAAAGAATTGTCTGAAAATTACCGCAGCGGCTTTGAGTCGTTCAATTACGGTGGAAATTCGTCTAGTTGGCAAAAAAGGCGATCATTTCTCTCTCGCGACGACGACGACGACGACGACGACAGAAGCTATCCTCCGCGGCCTGTGTCGGATAGCTTCGATATTTCGAACTATCGAGATAATTTAGGATGCAAAAAGGCGGGAAGGTCGAGGCAAGGCATTTTATTTCTGCGCGGCTCGTCTCGCATCAGCGGTCTCGACCTGATCAAAGTTAAGTAGACGCGCCTCTGGCTCTGGTGAGACCTCTTTGAAGCTACGTTGCGGTTTCTCTTTGCCCTAATCTCCTCCTCCGCAGCGTCCCTCCCCCCC